TTATTAGAGACTGACATTGCTGAAGTTAGTAGTTTAATTCTGAATCTTAAAGATAATTGTGCAGCAGGTTGGGATAATATTTCAAACATATTCCTAAAAAAATTCAGAAATTACTTAGTCTCGCCTCTTACATTTATTTTTAATCTTTGTTTACAAGTTGGGGTCTTTCCTAATTATTTAAAAAAGTCCATAGTTATTCCGATACATAAAGGTGGTGATGAAGATCTTATCACAAATTATAGGCCTATATCATTACTTCCTGCTATATCTAAGATCTTGGAAAAACTCATTAATATCAGACTGGTGAGTTATTTGGAAAATCGTAAGTTACTTTCTGATAACCAATTTGGTTTTCGTCAGGCAAAGTCTACTTCAGATGTAGTTCATGCAGTGACTAATTTTATTGCTACGAATTTAGATAAACATAATAAATGCTTAGCCATATTTCTAGACATTGCAAAGGCGTTTGATACAGTATCGATTCCTATTTTACTAAATAAGCTTGAGTCTATAGGCATAAGAGATAATCAGTTGAATCTTTTTTAAAGTTACCTTGCAAATCGTGTTCAAGCTACAGCAGTTGGAGAATATATTAGCACATATGCACCTATATCTTATGGAGTTCCACAGGGCAGCGTTCTTGGACCAACTCTATTCCTGATTTACATTAATGAACTAAGTTCATTTAAACCTTTAAATGGTAATCCGATCTCCTATGCTGATGATACAGTTCTATTAATTTCAGCCATTTCCTGGCAGAAAGTTTTTGATGCTGCGCAGGATGCTTTTGACAGTGTCTCTAGATGGCTGGGTGAAATCTTTTGACACTAAATCCTAATAAAACAAAATGCATTCCTTTTTCTATTCGGAAATTGAAAGGACTTGGAGATAAATTTCATCTTGTGGCTCACAGTTGCAATTTTGTAGATAAACATAAATGTTCCTGTCCTAAATTAGAGCGTACTAATGAAATAAAATACTTGGGGGTAATGTTAGATTGTCACTTAAATTTTAAAACGCATATTGAATTATTAAGCAAAAGAGTGCGGAAATTAATAATAATATTTAAAACACTTAGACATACTGCAGATTATAAACTCATAAAGCAAATTTACTTTGCACTCTGCCAATCACTGATATCGCACTGCATTACTTCTTGGGGAGGAGCGCCAGCTTCTACTATTAAGTGCTTAGAAATTGCCCAGCGTGCATTACTCAAAGTAAGCACTTTTCGACCTTTCTTATTCCCAACCAAACTCCTCTTTGAAAATTGTGAAGTCCTTACCGTCAGACAACTGTTTATCTTAGGTATAATCTTGAAACAACACAGTGAAGTGATTTTTGATCCTCAAAAATGTATAAACTCCAGAATAGTCAGACCTTGTGAACTAAAACAGTTTCATACTTCATTTGTTCGGAGATTTGACTGTGCTTTAGGTCCTTTTGTGTATAACAAAGTTAATAAAATTATTCCAGTTTACTCCCTACATATAAAGCAATGCAAAAAGAAAATAACAGCTTGGTTACTGACTCTAGGATATGATGAAACGGAAGATCTCTTGACAGTGCAGAGCTAAGTTATTATGGACAGTGCTCGAATTTCTATTGTTAGGTAACTTAAGGTATTCATTAAACTGTATTCTTCACCTTGTGCACACCCTATTACACGCACACACACACACACACACACACACACACACACACACACACACACACACACACACACACACACACACACACACACACACACACACACACACACACACACACACACACACCACACACACACACATCCACACACACACGTACACTAGCACCATATACAAAAGAGGTACATTTTACACACACATATATATATATATATATATATATATATATATATATATATATATTTATTTATTTATGTATTTATTAAAATATAACTAGGTGGAAGGACTTCTTTTATACCTAGGAGTCTGTCTGTGTAGCTACCACCCTCTAACCAGTTTCTGCCAAGTGCCTGTTTCTGTTCAGAAATGGTGAAATGGTGAGACATACATTCTTAGTGGTTATAGGTGATCATGCATCTGTAGCTTTTTTATTTAAGGTTTGTCATGAAAGAACGAAAGAGGAAAGAGTGATAAAATAAATTGATGTTGCAGAAAAGCCGGCAAGGGACGCCCTGGATGAAAGTTTATCAACCAAATTGGGGATACATTGATGATGGGCCAGATTTAGTGTACCCTTAACCGACGAGCATGTATGCTTAGGTGTATATGGATGTAATGGAGACGATAGGTGTGTGAGGATCTTGCCAAATGGAAGCTGTAGTATCTGACTACCACTCTGGGTGACAGTTATGTTTCTTATGTTTTGGCTGCAGTAGTCAAGTAATCTAATTGATAGTAAGTGGCTACTATATTCTTTTTGATTTTGTTTTCTGAAGCTTAAACAACTCATTTATCATGAGCTGTGATGATCGGGAAGGATCGGGAAATCGTCGGTAATTGGGTGAATAGGTACTAAACTAAAAATGTCATAACAATAACATGTGTACAGACATAAAAGTATACATGCATACATATTAACATACATACAAGTCAAGTTAATAAAAGTGTGGTAGACACGATAAAACTCGATTGCGATAATATTGATGGCAAGAAAATCCGTCAATAATGTTAGATCCAAAAATAAGATTTTATGAGGTCTGTTTATTGAATAGGGGTGACATCTGACACTGTAGATATTTATTTATTTATTTATTCACAAATATATATATATATATATATATTCTCGATTAAGGCTGATACCTACATCTAAATCAAAATGTATATGCATTTTAATCCCTGAAGACTAAGATAGAATGTCTCTTTAGTAGAAAAAAAGGGTTGTCGGTTCTCTATACTTACCATATGAAACGGAGCATTAGGTTTTATTGTACGCAGGTATTATCTAAAACCCTTCCCTAGTCTAACTGACCCACTTGTGATACAGCCATAATATAGTTGCAGCCTGGTGCTACCACGTTAACAAACAGACGGTTTAGTGCAGCGTGATGAGTTGTTAACAACTGCAATGAAATGCATGCAAAAAGAAATGCATGCCTACAGGTAAATTCTTGAAAAAACTTGTGACCACTAATAGACACAAAAAGCTAAAAAAGAAACGCTCCGTTGCGCGCTGATGACTCCGTGGCGCATTGGCTTAGTAATTAATTGCAGCGCCTCAGCTGTGGGTTCCTTGTGCAATTTATGTTTGTGCACACAATGATCCTACTGTGGGGGTAAGGTTTTTTTAAAGAAGAATCGTGTCCTGGGGTCGGATTGGAAAAATTTAACTTTTATGGTATATTCAATCTCTACTGCCATTCAACAGCAATAAAGGTGTTAAATGTAATTTAAAAAAATTGATTTACTATGGTTAGTGGCATAGGAAAATATTCTAAGAATGTTTTTGTGTTTAAGAATTAAAAATTAAAATTACGAACCTATCAACCCTCATTGTACAGGATTTTTTACATCAGTAGCTTAGAATAGAATAGCATGTTATAATTTTTATGTAATATATATTTCGAAAATACTTCTTGAAATTAATTTTTAGCTTTAGCACTGGTTCTGTAATAACCCCTGTCCTGGGAAGAACTAGCAAGAAACCCAGCGGGTCTTTCTTTTAAAAAACATATTTTGTATGAAAACATTTTGAAACAGCATGGTAGCAATCATCTCATTCTCAAGGATTATTTATTATCAATCATATATCTACCTTTTAGTACATAGTATAATTACCCTTACAGTTTATGTTTAAAAAAATACTTTTTAGTAAATAATGACTGCATATTTTCTAGGACTTTGTTGTAAAAGCGTATAAATTGTCCCATAGAGAATTTACTGACTATTTTGGAGTCGATTTACTGGTATAACTAATTTGTGCTTTTTTGTGGTTGTGGTTTCTCATTATTTGAGTCTATTATAGGCATTTTTGAGATAATAAGGTGGGGGATTGAATTTCATATCCAAAACACCAACCGTTAAAATTTATAGCCATGCCATGGTTGCCTTGCTAATATTATTGTTTCACATAATCGGGGGCTTCACAATTTTCAATCGATGGCTTAGGAAGAAATATAATAAAAGAAGCTACTCAGACTAGAGTAGTTAAAAAAGAATATGTTTGAGTACCGATTACCTTGTTGTGGCAGTGTAAGAATATTGACTACTTCACTACTATACACTACTGCATATCATCCAGTGGGTCTCGTAAGACGTGATGTGTTTCCTGGTTTAATAAAGCATAGTAAATTAATACCTTTATTTAAATCTGGAAGTACATTAGACCTCGCCAATTTGAGATCTATTTCTGCACTGCCAACAGTTAAATAAAATAAAAAGAAAGGAGTATGGGATTTTTGGGCCCGAAGTTAACAAATTGGTATGTACTCGTACTTCAAAAAATTGTTTATAATTTTCTGAGTACAAATACAAAAAACTAGCTCATTTTACAATCTAGAATTTGAAAAAACATTAAAATAAGAAATAATTTTGAATATCGATTATATTAATACAATTGATTCTTAATTTATTCGGATAAAAAATAAATATAAACTAAAAAAGCTACTAAGATTTATTTTAAAACAAATATATTACTTTAAATATTATTTGGATCATTTTGAAATCAAAATACGTTATTTACATAAGGAAAAAATGAAATAAACATTTATTAACAATAAATCGATAAACTAGTGTAATTCTCGTTTTGGAGCGATACATAGACTAACGTCTTCTAAATAGTTCGTAGTACTTCTCGTTTTGACAATTGACAGTACAAACTGCAAAATTATTACTAACTTGTTGTTTCGACTCGTTCCGTTTTCTTGTTTCCACGGCTTTCTTTCTTGATTTTACTTACTGATCCTGCTTTTTATTGACCCTTCCTTCGTTATTGGACACCGTTTAATCTTACTTATACGACTACCCGGCTTTGTTATTTGGAATACGACAACCTATCGATTGGATATTGTCATGATGGACCGTTGTGTTAATTGTGGCCTAGCGATTAGTCGCTGTAATACAATAGGCAAACGAGTTTTACTTGACCAAGCAACTCTATCTGTGATTCGTGAAAGGTGTGCACCTGAACCTGTAAGTACTATTCTATGATCATAATTAATTGATAAACAGTCAATTATTTGTGCTTTACTGCACACATTCATTTTACATAATCTTTTATCTTTCAGGTAAACAACAACGACTATGCATGTCAGGCCTGCTGGGACTTAGCTCAAGAGGTGGTCTTAGGTAAACGATCTATAGATGAACCGAGACCAGTAGGTCACTCCACTGTTTGTCTCCGCTGCGAACGTTCGTTGTTATCACAACGTATCACTCACCAACTTCAAACTAATTCACCTCGTGTATTGAGAATTTTTAATGTTATTCGAGAATGGATTATGCCACAAATTGTAAGTTGAATCAGCTAATTTTTTCTGTTTTAGACTTTTTCATCATATTTATCCAATACAAACTTGTTTATTTATTGAAGGTGGCAGAAACCAGTCGCATATGCCATTCTTGTTAGCAGACAGAGCTGCTGTTAATATGATTTCTGGGCCATCAACCTCTAGACAAAATACCATGCCTCAAATACAACCCCAGCTACTAGATACTCCCATTATACCACTGGAAGAACAATTGCAATCTCCACTTACGCCTCAAACTATGCTAGAAGCTATGCTAGAAGCTATGCCTGAACCTGTGCTTCAATCTCTGCCACAATCTAAATCGACTATTGTGTTACCAGACTACATGAGGGCTATGGAAACAGAAAAGAGGTGTTTTATAGAAGGATGTCACAGAACAGAAAGGCTTCCTCTTTCCACAAAAATGATTTTATTCAATCGCTATAACTATTATGTACCTGAAAACAATCGGCTTTGCGATCGGCATTTAGTAATTGAATCGTGAGATTTCCTTGAAAGTTTAAGAAATTATTACCAGCAAACTTTTACTGCACTTCATATTCAGGATATGCTGTCCTTAAAAGATTCTTCTTCCTCATTATGCTTTAATTTTGAAAGTATTGATAATTTGGAAGACCATGTTATACATACTTGGGTTGGGTTGAATAAAGTACAGTCTAATCAAATATTTAATGAGGTTACTCCGTTAACGGAAGTACCTAGAGGGTCTGTTGCTTTGGCTACTTACTTAATTAAACTAAGGACAGGTGACTCTAACGATAGATTGTCATCATTATTAAAAGTGTTAAGACGAACTCTGGAAAAATGGTTGAAAGAAATCCAACATTTGCTTACAGAGTATTTTGTGCCTAAGCAATTAAGTCTAAACCATATAAATAGGCAAGAAATTAAAGAAAGAAATCTTTCAATACCGAATGCTTTGTTTGGTGATTTTGAAGGTGAAAATAGGCCTGTTGTAATATTTGATGGGATATATTGCTATATTGAAAAAATTTCTAATTATCTCTACCAAAAAAGAACATATAATTTACATAAATATAGAAACTTAGTTAAACCATTTATAATTGCGTGCACTGATGAATATATCATAGACGTTTTAGGCCCCTATCCAGCCACAATTTCATATGCAGATATCATGAGAAAAGAATTTTCAGATGGAAGCCCACTTAGAGAATATTTTATGCAAGGTGATGCTTTCATACTTGATAGGGGCTTTCGTGATTCATTACCTATACTAAACCAATGTGGGTACAGAATTTACGTGCCTGCTTCCTTAAGGGAGGGCGAAACACAACTATCAACCAGTGAAGCTAAGAATTCCAGAGCAGTCACCATATGCCATTGGGTTGTGGAGGTGGTCAATGGAAGATTCAAACGTGATTTTAAATTGTTAAGACAAAATTATTCTAATACAACGGCAAAAAAATTTATGTTAGATTTTGAAGTGGCTGCTGCCCTTTTAAATGCTTTTCACCCTCCCATAGTAGACCGTGTTGATGCTGGGGAAATAATTCAACAAATAAATATGTTTATGAATACCGAAAACGAACTAGCCCATTATATTATAAGAAATAATTACAATAAACGCAGGGCTGATTTCCAAACAATAAGTATCCAAAATGACAATTTGAACGATTTTCCCCAGCTTACTTATAGTGAACTTAAATTAATTTCGTTAGGTACATACCAATTGAAGCAGGCACGTTCTTACTATGGTGAACACATAAGAGCAAATGATGTTTATGTAATTGAAGTGTGCAGGGAGACTAGCAGCAGTGTATTGCGAGAGCTGTCTGTTTCGAATACCTCATGGCTGCTTAGAGGAAGAATAAATTCAAGGCATATTAGCCGCAAAATATACTTTGTATACATATTGGTTGACAGCTCTCGCAGCCGCCGAGAATCTATTCTTCAATATTATTGTAATTGTAAGTATTGTAGGGAAACGCACAGTAGGCTGCTACGCCCATATAATGTCAATTATATGGTACCTTAGTTGGGCGAGGTATCAGGACAATATAGTGCCACCTGCACAGATCCTTGATGATATTTTAATAATTATTGAAGACGATTAAAGTACCTAAAAAAAGTTTTTTTTTAAATAACCACCTAACCACCACCCTATTCCTGTCTGGCTGAATTAGGTAGATATAGAGAATTAGGTAAGTAGGTAGATATGTAATTGAGACATATTAATGTGTGCTTAAAAAACCCTATCAAAGTCAAAAGTGTCTGGTTCAATTTCTGGTTATCCTTTTTTCGTATAAAAATTATATTTGTGAGAATAAACAAATTGCCTGAGTGTTCTCGAATTGTAGCCAGTTTGGTTGAATATTTATTTACCACTTGAATTACAAGAAAGCTTGGAACAGTTTATAATATAAAAGCTGATGTTATTTCAGCAAAATATCACAGGCGAAGTAAGTAGGCATTTACCTCCGCTTACGCTTATCATATCAGAATTTATAAATATAATTATTCTTTAAAGCTTTTACCACCTTTAACACTTGAAAAATATTTATTTACTAGTTAAATAACTATATTATCTATAGTTAGAAATCGACTGTTACCATGTAGGTAAAATATAACCTCACTTTCACTTAATCTTAAATAACTCAGCTCCTGTATTGACAAATATTGCCAAATTTTCACCTGTGGATTGTTTATATTTAAGCTTTCAAATGATCCAACTTTCATGTTGTTAACACCTGGGCTCAAGAATGTATGGAAACGTATCCGTCTCCTTTCTTGATCAAATTTTAAATTTTTTGGCAAAAATCAATTAGTTTTTACAAGGGGTCGCTCGACAACTGATGCTGATGTTGAGCTAATTAAGTATACCTGCAAAGCATAGGAGAATTCACAGAATGCCTTAAGTATATTTTGTGATCTTTTCTAAGCTTTCGACTGTGTTCGTCATGAGATATTAATCAGGAAACTACAACAATACGATGAAAAAAATATTGCGCTTAGACTTAATATTTCATATTTAAATAACAGAACTCAAAATTCGTAATGAATGGCAAAGGTTCCTCCGGGTCAATAGTAACAACGGGCGTTCCACAGGGCTCGACTCTTGGCCCATTTCTGTTCTTAGTCTATATTAATGACTTACCTTATCTTGTAGAGGACAATCACGATATAGAATTATTTGCTGATGATACCAATTTAATTTTCAATTAATTTTGACAGTGAAAATATTGCTCTATTGAAATTCCTTCACTGGTTTAACGCTATAAATTTTTGAATTTTCTCTTAAATGGCAATAAGACAAAATGTATTAAATTTACCACACCTAATGTATAACATTCAAATACCAAAATGCTCTTAAATGAAGACGAGTTGAGTCTTGTGGATACCACTGTTTTTTTTTTTGGTATTACTCTTGACGTGAAGCTTCTTTGGGGCCCTCATATAATTACAGAATTAGTAATTCATTAATAGGGCAATGTATATGCTTTTACAACACAATCCCATAAAATGTTTAAATGTTTTATTAAATAAAAATTATATGTACAAAAAGGGTTATTATAATATCAAAGAATAATACGTGTAAAAACAACCCTGGAAATGAGGTAATAGCCAACATGCTGGTTCTATTAAACTCATTTAAAATTTGTACAAACAAAAAAAATTGTAACGTGAAATAGGTTTAAAAAAAGTTCCACTGGGTTTCTTGCTGGTTCTTCCCAGGACATAGGTATTTTCTGAACCAATGGTAAATAAAAAATGAGTTTTCAATAAGTATTATGTAATAAACTATATTGAATAAAAATTATTCTATTCTATTCCATTCTAGTATGATTTGGGTATATTCTGTGACCTATCAAAGGCCTTTGATGGTATTCACCATGAAACATTAATCAGAAAACTTCAACACTACGGTGGAAGAAGTGATGCTCTTAAATTAATTATTTCATATTTAAGTTATAGTACGGAAAAAGTTGTCGTCTATAGTATGAGCTCTTTCGGGCCGATAGTACAAATGGGCGTGCCTCAGGGCTAAATCTTCGAACCCTTTCTGTTTCTTATATATACTAATGACTTACCTTACAATTTTACATAGTAGGGGATAATATACCATGATATAGTATGATGTGCTGCTAACACTTCGTTCGTTTTAACGAAGTGTTCACAGCACTTCGTTAGTTTAAAACGACAATTACTAAATTATGAAGAAGTAAATAAAAAGTTAAATTTAAAGTGACAGCCTGTACACATTTCACTGCTGGACATAGGCCTCCTCTCATACTTGACAGGGTACCTCTCTCAGAATTAAATAATTCTATATCTAAATTAGTAAATTGGTTTGATGTTATTATTTTGCATTTAAATGGCACTAAAACGAAATGTATGAAATTCATAACTCCAAATGTCAAACCTTTAAATTCTAATGTAATAACTTAAAACAGGGAGGAACAGATTTTTGTAGATACCACCATTTTCTTGGAGTGAAACTAGATACGAAATTTCAATGGGGCCCTAATATATCAGAACTAGCAAGCAGACTTAGTTCTGCATATGCTTTAAGAAAGATTAGAAATTTTACCAGTATTGAAACACATAAACTAGTTTACTTTAGCTATTTCAATAGTACAATGTCATATGGTATTTTGCTATGGGGACATGCAATTGACAGTGAAATTATTATTGTTTTACAAAAGAGGGCCAGAAGAGAAACCTACGACTTAAATCCTAAAGAGACGCTCAGACAAAAATTTAAGAAAATCAATATATTTACTTTGGCCTCTCAATACATTGATGAAAATGTAATGTACGTATACAAAAATAAAAGTAGTTTTACAAAAATAAGTGATATTTATTCTGTAAATACTAGGAACAGACACAAGCTAATTATCTTCTTCTTTAACTCTAATTCATTTCTATGCATATCATGCAAATAATCCCTGAGCATAGCCCTCTTCATAGCTCGCTGAGCGATTTATTCGTTTGTTTTATTTACAGAGTACTTTCATTAGGTTTAGAATCAATCGCCCCATGTGTGAAACAGAATTTTACAGTTTGTATTTAACAAACTGTAAAATTCTGTTTCACACACTTAAATATGATACAAATTTGAGCATGTAACAGTAGTACGACTCCATTCTTGGGGCGATTTAAATGGTGAAAATCCCAGATTTTCAAAAAGTTTGACCTGTTCCAAGTTCAAAACTTTATTAAACTAAGTATGCGCAAAAGGTTTATGATAATATTAAAGAATTTATGGATGATAATAACCTCTAGGAATGAGTTGATTGCTGCCAAGCTATTTTTAATTTGTTTTGTGTTGTTTATTGTGTAACATATATTAAATACATACGTTTGCTCACTTGGTCGATAGCTGATAATGTTAACCGTGACCTCATTATGTACGCTTCGTTACCAATGACGTAATGAAAACAAATTGGACCGCGGATACTATGAAACTGTAAAATGGTGCACGTTTACGTGGTGTGCAAAGATTATTCGAAAGTGAGTCTTCACCGCCACAAAAAGTTAACTAACGTGTACCTATTAATTGAAGAAAAATTGACTGTTATTCAAACTATACAAGTCTGGACCATAGTATAGAGGTCTTATACTATGGTCTACAAACTCAGCGGTACTTTCATCGTTAGTCTTTTATCTGTTTATAAAAAGTCATGTTTACGTCAAAGAGGCCCAAAGTTCTAAAAACCGCCGCAGAAAAATTATTGCTATGTTCACGGAAGTTAATAGTGCTCAAGAACAGGTAATAAGTGTGAAAAATATTTTAAGAAAACGTGCTCATCTATGCATAAAGAATGTGGCTGATCGACCACGCGGGAGCACCGGCTCGTTGAATGAAATGTTTGAAAGGGTGGCAAAATTCTTTTTCACTATGTGAGCAAATAACGAGATGATTTTGCAGTTTTATCTACGGTAAAGTATGCTGTAATAGCTCTTAAAAAAAAGGTTCAATGGTTTTTGTTTTAATATTCCCGACATCAGATTTTGTTTTGTTTTTTAAATTTGTGTACTTAAATATATTTGTTAGAAAAGGTTTTTTTAGACGCTACTTTAAGTAGATACTTCTTTGTAAGACCGTACTTAACTAGTACGTATTGTACATGACCATATAACCATAAGGTTCCTTTTTGTTTAGCGAGTAGACTTAATTTGTGGTGATCCATCATACGATTAATAAAAATTAGTATAAAAGTTAAAGTCTGTACCCACACAGACTTCCTCTTGATTTTGAAAGGAAGAATTTAGTTTGTCACGGTGCTCCATGTGAATTCACCGGTCTTCACATATTCTCAAAATAAAAAGTTTCAGACATGCACGTATTCTTTTATTATGTTTCCATCGGCAAGTATTTGGATCATAAAAGTTCGAAAACTTAAAATGCGTGGTAATTTAGCGGGTTTTAGATTTTATAGTAAGTAGTTTTAGCCTCCTCTTACTTTTAAGAGGGTCATGATGCAATTCGTTCGCCTAACTACTCCAGTGCTTGTTGGTAGACTTCACATGTCTTTGAAATATTTTATTCCTGAGACGCATGGGTTCCCTTTTTCCTTTTACCGCCAGGAACTTAGTCAATTATTACTTAAAATTACAGTAACCAATTTCATCGGTACCAGTGGGAACTGAACCCGGATTGCTTGCGTAGTAGTAAATTTACGGCAAGTGCTACGCCCCTGAGCTATGATATAATTTGAATATTGTCGTCGTATTCGAACCTAGATGAATAATCTTCTCCATTCTACAAGAAAAAAGAAATAATAATTTAAAATTAAAAATTTTGTACAGCCGACTTCAATATAAGTTATTTAAGAATAGCTCAAAAATGGTTTGACCGTGATCAAATTCATATGGGACCACACGAGAACTATCAACTTTCATATAAAAAAAGAATCATCGAAATCGGTTCACCCAGTACAAAGTTATGAGGCAACACACATAAAAAACATACAGTCGAATTAAGTACCGTCTCCTTTTTGGAAGTCGGCAGAAAAAGGGGCCCTAGTTTTGAACATTATCTAATACAACGCTTTGAATAAAACTATTTTTACAGATTTTATCGCGTTTAATTAACTTATTTTATATTCCCGAC